CTCCACATCTTCCTTGCTTTGCCATTAACAAGTCTAATATTCTCTGCCGGAACGAGGCTAGATACGTTTTTGATTGTCGTTTGCCCTGACATGCCACGAGATTCTGCCTTCGGAACAATTTGTGAATTAAATATCATTGCATTCTTAGTCGAACAGAACCATAACAAGTTTTTGTGCTTAAGTATGTACAACTAACGTAAGATTTCATGGATGTAGCCTACACATCCATATTGCTTTCGCACACGCCTAGACAACACAAATAATTAAAGAAACACGAAACAATTTAAGGTATATTAATATTATTGAAAATAGAGTAGTAAGAATGTTAGGTCGCATTAGCTACGGAGTCCAGTTCCCTCGAGGTAGGTAACAGAACACCGCACAAGAGATAAAGTAGATGGTTTATTGAGCAAAATCTATGACTAGTCACATGACAGTGTATTGGCACCTCTATTCACCTTCAGCAATCAACCCTCTGAGGTGGGACCTGAGTGCCATGCGTAGCTTCTTCCTCAACAACTGGAACACTTCTTCCAGTTCCTTTAAGAGGTCAACCACTTTCTGACCCAACGGATCACGTTCGAAGAAGTACTTCACTTCGCCAAACATTTTCATCACACTCCTCGACGTCGAGGTGAGGCCATCATCACTAAATGGAAGAAGAAAAATAAGAAGAGGAAGAGAGTGGCAAATGCGAGCGTGAATGAGGTGGAGATGAGGGAGGGTAGTGTGACCTACGCCTGAGTAACCACCACGAATGAGACGAGAGCCAGAGCGAGAAGAAGGCAGAACCGCATTGTGATGTTGTTCCCGAAATTGTCCCACACACGAGCAAACAAACACGGACGATGTGTGCCTTATATACACACCGTCTACTTCCTGTTGATTTGGCATCATCTAAACATGCCTACCCGCATTTGAAGTGGAACGCAAAATTGATGAAATAATGTGATGAATGAACTGTGAGTGGAGGGATAATTCCTCTCTGATGCCAAAATGGTGTGACTACGCAAAAAACCATACGTTTTCATGGAGTGGG